TCTATGTCTTGTTATGTTCTACAATCCTATGTCTTGTTAGTCTACAATTCTATGTCTTGTTATGTTCTATAATACTATGTCTTGTTATGTTCTACAATCCTATGTCTTGTTATGTTCTACAATCCTATGTCTTGTTATATTCTACTATCCTATGTCTTGTTAGTCTACTATCCTATGTCTTGTTAGTCTACAATCCTATGTCTTGTTATGTTCTATAATCCTATGTCTTGTTATGTTCTACAATCCTATGTCTTGTTATGTTCTACAATCCTTTGTCTTGTTATGTTCTACAATCCTATGTCTTGTTATATTCTACTATCCTATGTCTTGTTAGTCTACAATCCTATGTCTTGTTATGTTCTATAATCCTATGTCTTGTTATGTTCTACAATCCTATGTCTTGTTATGTTCTACTATCCTATGTCTTGTTATGTTCTATAATCCTATGTCTTGTTAGTCTACAATCCTATGTATTGTTATGTTCTATAATCCTATGTATTGTTATGTTCTACAATACTATGTCTTGTTATGTTCTACAATCCTTTGTCTTGTTATGTTCTACAATCCTATGTCTTGTTAGTCTACAATTCTATGTCTTGTTATGTTCTACAATCCTATGTCTTGTTAGTCTACAATTCTATGTCTTGTTATGTTCTATAATACTATGTCTTGTTATGTTATATAATCCTATGTCTTGTTATGTTCTACAATACTAGTCTACTATCCTATGTCTTGTTATGTTCTACAATCCTATGTCTTGTTATGTTCTACAATACTATGTCTTGTTATGTTCTATAATCCTATGTCTTGTTATATTCTACTATCCTATGTCTTGTTATGTTCTACTATCCTATGTCTTGTTATGTTCTATAATCCTATGTCTTGTTATATTCTACTATCCTATGTCTTGTTATGTTCTACAATACTATATCTTGTTATGTTCTACTATCCTATGTCTTGTTATGTTCTACAATACTATGTTTTGTTATGTTCTACAATCCTATGTCTTGTTATGTTCTACAATACTATGTCTTGTTATGTTCTACAATACTATGTCTTGTTATGTTCTACAATACTATGTCTTGTTATGTTCTATAATCCTATGTCTTGTTATGTTCTACTATCCTATGTCTTGTTATGTTCTACAATCCTATGTCTTGTTATGTTCTATAATACTATGTCTTGTTATGTTCTACAATCCTATGTCTTGTTATGTTCTATAATCCTATGCCTTGTTATGTTCTACAATCCTATGTCTTGTTATGTTCTACAATCCTATGTCTTGTTATGTTCTACAATCCTATGTCTTGTTATGTTCTACAATACTATGTCTTGTTATGTTCTACTATCCTATGTCTTGTTATGTTCTACAATCCTATGTCTTGTTATGTTCTACAATACTATGTCTTGTTATGTTCTACAATCCTATGTCTTGTTATGTTCTATAATCCTATGTCTTGTTATGTTCTACAATCCTTTGTCTTGTTATGTTCTACAATACTATATCTTGTTAGTCTACTATCCTATGTCTTGTTAGTCTACAATCCTATGTCTTGTTATGTTCTATAATCCTATGTCTTGTTAGTCTACTATCCTATGTCTTGTTAGTCTACAATCCTATGTCTTGTTATGTTCTATAATCCTATGCCTTGTTATGTTCTACAATCCTTTGTCTTGTTATGTTCTACAATACTATATCTTGTTATGTTCTACTATCCTATGTCTTGTTATGTTCTACAATCCTATGTCTTGTTATGTTCTACAATACTATGTCTTGTTATGTTCTACAATCCTATGTCTTGTTATGTTCTACAATACTATGTATTGTTATGTTCTACAATACTATGTCTTGTTATGTTCTACAATACTATGTCTTGTTATGTTCTACAATACTATGTATTGTTATGTTCTACAATCCTATGTCTTGTTATGTTCTACAATACTATGTCTTGTTATGTTCTACAATACTATGTCTTGTTATGTTCTACAATACTATGTATTGTTATGTTCTACAATCCTATGTCTTGTTATGTTCTACAATACTATGTATTGTTATGTTCTACAATACTATGTCTTGTTATGTTCTACAATACTATGTCTTGTTATGTTCTACAATACTATGTCTTGTTATGTTCTACAATCCTATATCTTGTTATGTTCTACTATCCTATGTCTTGTTATGTTCTACAATTCTATGTCTTGTTATGTTCTACTATCCTTTGTCTTGTTATGTTCTATAATCCTATGTCTTGTTATGTTCTATAATCCTATGTCTTGTTATGTTCTACAATACTATGTCTTGTTATGTTCTACAATCCTATGTATTGTTATGTTCTACAATCCTATGTCTTGTTATATTCTACAATCCTATGTCTTGTTATGTTCTACAATACTATGTCTTGTTATGTTCTACAATCCTATGTCTTGTTATGTTCTACAATCCTATGTCTTGTTATGTTCTACAATCCTATGTCTTGTTATGTTCTACAATCCTATGTCTTGTTATATTCTACAATCCTATGTCTTGTTATGTTCTACAATACTATGTCTTGTTATGTTCTACAATCCTATGTCTTGTTATGTTCTACAATCCTATGTCTTGTTATGTTCTACAATCCTATGTCTTGTTATGTTCTACTATCCTATGTCTTGTTATGTTCTACTATCCTTTGTCTTGTTATGTTCTACAATACTATGTCTTGTTATGTTCTACTATCCTATGTCTTGTTATGTTCTACAATCCTATGTCTTGTTATGTTCTACAATACTATGTCTTGTTATGTTCTACTATCCTATGTCTTGTTATGTTCTACTATCCTATGTCTTGTTATGTTCTACTATCCTTTGTCTTGTTATGTTCTACAATACTATGTCTTGTTATGTTCTACTATCCTATGTCTTGTTATGTTCTACAATCCTATGTCTTGTTATGTTCTACAATACTATGTCTTGTTATGTTCTACTATCCTATGTCTTGTTATGTTCTACTATCCTATGTCTTGTTATGTTCTACTATCCTTTGTCTTGTTATGTTCTACAATACTATGTCTTGTTATGTTCTACAATACTATGTCTTGTTATGTTCTACAATCCTATGTCTTGTTATGTTCTACAATCCTATGTCTTGTTATGTTCTACTATCCTATGTCTTGTTATGTTCTACTATCCTATGTCTTGTTATGTTCTACAATCCTATGTCTTGTTATGTTCTACTATCCTATGTCTTGTTATGTTCTACAATCCTATGTTTTGTTATGTTCTACAATCCTATGTATTGTTATGTTCTACAATCCTATGTCTTGTTATGTTCTACAATACTATGTCTTGTTATGTTCTACAATCCTATGTTTTGTTATGTTCTACAATCCTATGTATTGTTATGTTCTACAATCCTATGTCTTGTTATGTTCTACAATCCTTTGTCTTGTTATGTTCTACAATCCTATGTCTTGTTAGTCTACAATTCTATGTCTTGTTATGTTCTACTATCCTATGTCTTGTTATGTTCTACAATCCTATGTCTTGTTAGTCTACTATCCTTTGTCTTGTTATGTTCTACAATCCTATGTCTTGTTATGTTCTATAATCCTATGCCTTGTTATGTTCTACAATCCTATGTCTTGTTATGTTCTACAATCCTATGTATTGTTATGTTCTACAATCCTATGTCTTGTTATATTCTACAATCCTATGTCTTGTTATGTTCTACTATCCTATGTCTTGTTATGTTCTACAATCCTATGTCTTGTTATGTTCTACTATCCTATGTCTTGTTATGTTCTACAATCCTATGTTTTGTTATGTTCTACAATCCTATGTATTGTTATGTTCTACAATCCTATGTCTTGTTATGTTCTACAATACTATGTCTTGTTATGTTCTACAATCCTATGTTTTGTTATGTTCTACAATCCTATGTATTGTTATGTTCTACAATCCTATGTCTTGTTATGTTCTACAATCCTATGTCTTGTTATGTTCTACAATCCTATGTATTGTTATGTTCTACAATCCTATGTCTTGTTATATTCTACAATCCTATGTCTTGTTAGTCTACTATCCTTTGTCTTGTTATGTTCTACAATCCTATGTCTTGTTATGTTCTATAATCCTATGCCTTGTTATGTTCTACAATCCTATGTCTTGTTATGTTCTACAATCCTATGTATTGTTATGTTCTACAATCCTATGTCTTGTTATATTCTACAATCCTATGTCTTGTTAGTCTACTATCCTATGTCTTGTTATGTTCTACAATCCTATGTCTTGTTATGTTCTACAATCCTATGTCTTGTTATGTTCTACAATCCTATGTCTTGTTATGTTCTACAATACTATGTCTTGTTATGTTCTACTATCCTATGTCTTGTTAGTCTACAATCCTATGTATTGTTATGTTCTACAATCCTATGTATTGTTATGTTCTACAATACTATGTCTTGTTATGTTCTATAATCCTATGTATTGTTATGTTCTACAATCCTATGTATTGTTATGTTCTACAATACTATGTCTTGTTATGTTCTACAATACTATGTCTTGTTATGTTCTACAATACTATGTCTTGTTATGTTCTACAATCCTTTGTCTTGTTATGTTCTACAATCCTTTGTCTTGTTATGTTCTATAATCCTATGTATTGTTATGTTCTACAATTCTATGTCTTGTTATGTTCTACAATTCTATGTCTTGTTATGTTCTACAATCCTATGCCTTGTTATGTTCTACAATCCTATGCCTTGTTATGTTTTATAATCCTATGCCTTGTTATGTATACTACTGTTATTCCTAATGTATTTTCGGTTTGATGTTTTGTTAAAGAGGTCAGTTAATTGCTAGAGAAATAATAATTGGTCACCTTAATGTCATCGATGACAACAGGATCATTACTTTATTAGAACTTTTTTATAAATAGCATGACTAAAGATCTATGTAAAAGTTCGTTTGAAAAGGAACGTCATCATATCATTAAACACGGAACATAGTAGCATCAGATCGGTCTAGCCCACAGCCGAGTTGTTTGGACGAGGTGAAATCATGGTCACTGTGGTTGCCTCTCTCCCACTACTTAGGTCGTCAGTGGATTTTAAGCGGTCATCGATGCTCATCTTCTTCTTGATGTATTTCCTGGACGATGAGAAATGTTAAAACAGTAAGCAAAACAAAATGAATGTTTTTTTTTGTAATTGTTATATTTTTATATCAATGTCGTATTTGATATCATAACTTCATGGAACAACATTATACATGACATTCCTTCACATCATCAGGAGATTTATTATAGACCTATAGACAATGGATGGACATAGACAGTATAGTCGTGAATGTATAGGCCGTTACTGTAACGTTACCTGACGAAGTAGCCGGCCACCAGTACCACTATTAGGAGGCTCACGAGTCCGCCAACTACTCCCCCGACCACAGCCCCGGTGTTATCCTTGTCTGCTGGAGGACTGTCGCCGGAGCAATCCCCATAGTAGCCTGGATCGCACTCAATACTAAACTCGAGCTGTAACCTTTGTAAAATATACAAGGATAAAATTAACCTATCTTATAGACCCCTAGGTCCTAGTTAGTCTGTAAATTAATAACTTTGTCAACGTTAGGGGTTTTTGAACGATTATCTCGGAAAGGGTAAAAGTCCTAGGTCCTGTGATTTTTAGAGTACAGTAATATTCAGTAGGCGGCTACAATAAAATCTCTCTTAAATTTACCAATATGTAGATAATTCGATAATCATCGCCAAGAAGTAAATAAGTTAAAAGCACCAATGTTTTTACCAGTAATACAATATCTAAGTATATTTGACTTCTGTTGTATTGTGAATAATATCTGTAAGGCTTGATAGTCATATCAAAGGTGTTTTAGTGCCAATAATGACGTAATTACGAACACAGTAAGACAAATTGAAGTATTGCTCCCATTTCAGTTATTCCGATTAGACTGTGCCTGGTTTGTGTACTTTATCAGTCGTTTGGAGATTTAACCGACACGTTCTGATTATAAGTAGTTGATTACAGACCCATCACCCTCTGTGGCTGAGACCAATGTCAACAAGCTCTACCTTCTTCTTACCACACGAGTTTGAGAACCCTATTGTCAATAAACGTACTTTCCTCTAACCCCATTGAGGGTGAAAACGTCGTGGACTGGTCCGGAAGCCAGGTTGACATTCTCGGACTGAGTGATGATGTCCATGGATTCCGATTTACCGTCGACATCATAATCCACCACCGCCACGGTGATGATAAATCCAATCTGAAACACAGAATGTAGTTCAGTCCACGTATTTAACGCCACCAACTATTTACCAAACCATGGCTGATATGGTTAGGAATTTTTAATGATGAGAAAATATTTGAAGGACATATTAGTGGTCACTGTATAACTACATTCAATGGAAACCACATCTACATGTTATCTCCAACACGAACTTCATACACCTATCATATCTAGATACAATTCGTGTCGTTTCACAGATGTTCTCTCAACTATCTCCAACAACTAAAAGGAAATGTTAGAAAGTACAAGAGCAACAGCTACCCATAAATGATAACGGGTTGGTGCATGTACATCGATAGTAATGGGATCTACATCGGTCGACCTTCAGCATTCGTCCTTCTTGTTAATTCTAACCACTAACACATAGCTCTCCAAAGCCTGAATACACTAATTATCTTAAACTTCACTTTAATTTACATTTTCTTAATAAAAAAAATAATCTAGCAAAATTAGGCAAACACTTGTTTAAACTTATCAACGATTCTTTACTGACTTCTACGGTTTCAAGTTGATCTGAAAATGGTATGTTTTACATCCTTACATGTGTTAGAAATAAACAGCTATGATTCATAGAACAAACATACGTCATATGATACGTCTCAACAACTGTAGATTATAGTACCCCTACGTTAGAACTGTCTTACTTTCATCTACGATGAGTTAGCATTCTTTACATAAACACCTTGAATAGTGTAATACACAAGGAAGATATACAATAACAACAACACAACAACAACAAGACAAAATCATCAACAACAACACAATAACAAAACAACACAAAAACAACAACGACAACATGATTTTTTTTAGAATAATAACATTTCTCTATCGTCTTCCTATATACAACTCATTACAAGTCCTGTCTCCTGTCGGTTGTTTTAAAGAGTAATACTATTTCTCTTTAACAATTTCAGCTTGGTGGCAGTGAACTGAAATTTACAAAAATATGCTCTCAAATAGAGACAGGGTTCATAGGAATTCATGAACGAACTAACGAACGAGTGTTTATTTGCACTTTTGTAATTAAATGGGTAATTTGCTGGCAACAACAAATCAGCTAAAATTAGAAACGAAATTATGATACTAAAAAAAAAAGAAAAAAAACCGGTGAATTACCTTAACTAATGTTACCCAGACCACAACGCCGAGGTAAGGTTTTATTGAAAAGACAAATAAAATAATAACATTATGTCAAGAACTACCGCTGAATTACCTTCCAGGATGAGAAGTTGAAGTGTAATGGATTTGAAACGTTTCCAAACGTGTCGTTGAATGTCACGGTGTTTGTGTTGTTGAAAACGTAGGACTCTTCTCTCACCAAGGAACACCAGCTACAAGATATAAAAATTACCATAGAATATTGAAATAACGTTTAACAACATTGAAATATTTTGTAACAAGACAATTATGCACATGTTGAATTGACCTATTGTAAAATCATTAACTTTCGTGGAGAATTTATTAATTTTGTTCGTACTCTTAATCCATATGTCCACAAACTGTAAAACATTTATTAAACTAGATTTATCTCTGAAATCAAACGTCCAGGTAATAACGATTTTGTTAAACCACGAAAATTGAACCCCGTGAAAATACATGTCAGTTCACTGTAATTTTTTCAGTACAAGGATATATGAATTCGTCGATTGATAGTACCCACTAAATCGATGAAAATAAATACCCACGAAATATACCGATATTACAGTTAAGTGTTCAGAATTTTATTTATTACATATCAATTTGCTACATTGTATCCAGTTCTATATTTTTGTTGAAACCTACAAAACACGTATGTGTCGTCTTTTTTACAACCAATGCAATTCGTTGTTCAACACTGTTGTGAAGAGTTTTCATAAACATTCCAAAAAACACAAGAAAAATATTAATTTTGATTTGAATAACTTTAATCATTCATTACCTTGCCTCAACTTTTCAAAATAACAATATAGACGTTACCGATTTTTACAAGATCATGACGATATGGTTCCTAATGTATTAGTTGACGAGTTGGACGTTGATATAACAGAGCGTGAAATGTTAAATGCTATTCACAAATCAAATACGAATAAGGCGTGGTATTTTGAATTAGTTTTTAATCAAATGTAAGACGGTGTTAATGACTTGCTTTATCAATTTATTCAACAGTATCCTTAGATATAGACATTTTCCAGGAAGTTGGACAAAAGGTAATAGTGTCCCTGTTTTCAAAAATGGGGGTTATTTATGATGTAAATATCTACAGGGGAATTGCTATTGCTAGTGGTCTTGGAAAACTTTTCACGTCTATGATCAATAATAGACTGATGATCTTTGACTTAAAATATAGTATAGAGTAACAGATGCTCAATTTGGCTTCAAACGATACCATTCTACTACTGACGCTATATTTACACTACAAACAATAATAATTAAAAATTAGAAAACACTGTACTGCTGTTTAGTTGATTATACTAAGGCGTTCGATTTTGTAAATCGATAGAATCTGTTTAAATGAATAAGGGAAGGTATTGATGGATAATTATTCAAGTTGATAAGTTCGCTGTATAGTAGTGTTAAATGGGAAGCATAATAGTTCATTATCTAATTACCTCGATTGTGAAAATGGATTGTTCCAGGGGGAAATTTTATCACCTCCAGTGTTTTCTTTGTACAATGATCGTGAAATGCAATTTTTAATTGACAACTGCCCTTCCGTTGAAATTCAGACATTAAACTTGTTCCTGTTAATTTACACAGATGACATGGTAATATTCTCGGTGACTCCTGAAGGTTTACAGGATATGCTAAATTCTTCAGAAACATAAAAAAATGGATTTAACTGTCAATACAAGTAAAACAAAAATTCTGGTTTTTCGAAATAGTTGGTTTTTTTTAAATGACGAGACCTGGAACTATGACGGTTGTCAATAAGAAATTGTAAATGAATTTAATTATTTGACCATGTTTCTTGATTATAATGGAGTCTTCAGAAAAACTCACAGAGCAAGGACGAAAAGCTTTATTTGCAGTTTTAGGCGTGTGTTGTAAAAATTATTTTGATATTGAAACCGAATTGCATTCTAAGTTATGGGTCCGAAATATGGGACTTTCATAAAGCACCTGAGGTTGAAAAAACTCACCTGATGTTTTGTAAAAAAATATTTGGAGTTTGGAAAAAATACGTTTAATAGAAAGATCTATTAAGAACTTGGTAGGTTTCGTCTTACATTGCTAAGAAAATTAAGAATATTTAAGTATTGGATGAAATTAAAAAAGACTGAAAATTGTATATTAAAATCATGCCACGAAGATATGTTGAAGAAGAATGATAAATGTGTTTTAAACATCGAAAACTAATTGTGTCGAGTAGGTTTAGGCTATATTTGGTATACGGAAAACAATGTAGACATACAGTATGATTTAATTAGAGAAAGACTTTTTGACATTGTTAGAGAAGACTGTAAAGAAAAAATCAGAACTTCGTCGAAAGGACATTTATACCCATCTTGATCATGACTTCAATTTACAAGGCTATTTGAAAAAAAACTACACCTAGGGAACATTTGAAAGAATTCAAAAATTAGACTTTTTAGATCTTATAATTTGAAAATAGAAAAGGGCCGATATCAAAAGACACCGAGGAATTTAGGAGTTTGTACCATTTGTAATTTAGACAATACAGAAGACGAGTTTCATTTTATATTGAAATGTCCTTGTTACACGGACCTGAGAAAGAAGCTTTTAGTAAAATACTATTTAAAAAATCTAGTATGTTTAAACCAATATAACTTTTTAATGTAAAAAACACAAAAGGAATTACAAAGTTGTCTAAATATACCAAGGCTGCTTACATTTTAAGAGATCAATAGGGTCCATAGTTTGCTCTCTCGGAGTCTGTATTGTAACTGTAATCATGTGTTTGTATATTGTTATGTTTTATGTTGTTACATTCCTGTATCTGATGAGTCAGTTGACTTGAGGTAATAAAGAACTTGAACTTGAACAACCCCCATTGTTTGCAGGGCACGTGTCTTTTTATTGCAGGGTTGCAGAATTCATAGACTGTATCAAATATTAATATATGTTCGTTTAATTGTTTGTACATGTTAAAACCTCTTTCATCGTATCTTTTTGCTATCAATCGTCAGTTTGGATGTAACATGCAATATATTTGATTGATCGACCGATTGATTGATTGATTGCTTAATTGATTGATTGATTGATTGATTGATTGATTGATTGATTGATTGATTAAGATGTGTAATGTAGGTCCTTACTGAGCTTCTAGCTGCTGGGTTAGACAGACGATAAATTTCGGATCGCACTGGTGCATATGACAGTTCGTTGTGGCGTTTTGATCGCAGCACATTCCGCTAGTCAGTTGCTGGAGAGGGTTATCATAGGAAAGCAGTCTTAAGTTGCCTGTCCCTGTAGAGTAGACGACCTGGAAACAAAAAAAATATATATATACTTAGATATATCAAATTATGAAAACCTCGCAAAGGAAAGCTTAAATAATGAGATAACTTCTGAGATATTGTAAAAGTCGAGTACATGAATTCAGATATAGGACTTCTTTAAACAGTGAATTTCCGTGATCTGTTAGCTTCTGTTTGGATCAATACACTAGATACATTAAAGAGCATCATAGTGCTAAATATCAATTTATTGCTGTGTACGTATTTACTTACCGAAATCATCGACAGAAGAAAAAATCCTGTCCGTATGTTGGTAGCCATTGTCCACTTCATCATCAAGCAATATATTTGATAAGACAAGACATTCCACCCGAAATGATTTATATCAAAACAGACAATAGTCAGTAGGTATAGAGCTGTCGATGGTTTGTTAAATAACGGAGATAACAACCTGTCAATCAACGCACTGGACAATAGACTCAGTAAGTACTTAACTCACTTGTGAATATGTAAAGGAATATTTTCATATGAAGATTTAATCTTTAATCTGACGTCTGTCTCTTCTTTTATCAATTCATTTTGATAATATACGATAGGACACGAGGAAAGCGGATGGTGACTTATCTTCCATATAATAGCGATCTCATGCCTCTCCATTATCTGACCTCCTACCCTCCTTAAGTCCCTGTACTGAAGACAAACATCGGGTGTACCATCCCTAAAGCGTGTAAAGACAGAAAACTATAAAACATCCACTTTCATTCATTTTAGTTAAAATGGCGGTTCTTTGGTGATAATGGTGCTGACATATTTTGTGTCCGATTATTGTTTACTGTAGTATTTCCACCAACATTCCTAGATACTCTCTTAGCTGACGTTTTTGTTTTTATACGAGTCTGAATTCATTGAAGAGCTTATCAAAACAGGTCACAAAGACCTTTGTGAGGTCGTTCATCGTCACTTTCATATATATTGATGACGCCATGTCATTAAAGAACAAGAGACTTATTAGTAATGCTCATACTCGCAAGAATTGGAAATCAAGGACACAACAGCTACTTACCTCCATCTTATGTCTACGACGAAACCAACAGAAATAATTTTCCGTCAACCTGTATGATAGGCGTGATAATTTCAATTTCCCTATTATAAATGTATCCTTTCTTTATAGCAACATTCCTGTATCTCATATGCTTATATGTAGAATATGATTCTATATTAAAGGGCTTGTTTACAATATCGTGCGAGATGTCGTCAACTAACAGACCAAATCTCATCAAGTTTCGAGAGGTATGGTCGTCATGGTGATCTCATTGAGAGATATATCTTTGTTAGAATATGGACCTGTACAATGCTCCTTATGACCGGTGGCTCAGTTTTTATTTTCCTGGTTCTCATTTAGGAACAGAACATCACTAACATGGATTTACCAACATTTGCCTAGAAGGTGTTGTTGCTGAAGTCGGAGACGTTTCCCTCCCGGAATAACTGATCTGTTTCTCCTCAATTTCCGCCGGGATTTTTCTTTCGTTCATGTTTTGACAATTTTTTATTTAGAATATTTAGTTTGTGTTAAATTTTCGGACTTTTTTCAACTCAGTTACAGCATGAGTCATTTATGATGATTCAGATTTCTAAGCCTGTATAAGTATGATTAGTGTATTGTCTAACGGTATATTTTATACAATGTAATATGGTGGAGTGGAAATATAAAGCAGGTGTGAACTAATATCCTGCCTCGTACTTCACAGAGGACATAAAATAGTGTCTCCAGTGATAGATATACATCACACGTGTATTTTAGTATCTTTCACGAGTGGGCAAAGCGATGGAAAGATACAAAAATATTAGACACACTGAAATGTATTTGTTATTACTGAATAGCCAAATTACTGGCATATTAAGAACAGGAAGTCGTTTAGCCTTTTCATGTACACTACTCACTCATTATAACTTCGTCCCCTACGCGACAAAGTATAGTCCGTTTTGTTTTAAATCATTATGATATGTAAACACAAAATAAATTTATTTCTATATTCATATAGAAAATATTTCTTATTCATGTGACTAACAGACAAAATGTACTGTAAAACGTTCAGAGAGAATTTACGCGACTGAAAATATGGAGACAACCGATGGCTATCGCTGTTGATGACACCAATGCCCTTGAGATGTCTAACGTGTTAGCTCCACATTCAACACGTTCGTTTGGAGAATTAGGTTTGGTCTCTGATGATATAACTTGCGTTTCATAGTTTGCTGACTTTGCGGAAAGTTTACAATGGAATTGAAAGTCGTGTGTGTTTCTAGTTAACAACCCCGTCAGGTTTCTGGTTTTGTGTTTCGTGGGGGGAGGGAGAGTTGTTTTGTTTGTCAGCTTTATAAAATGATTTGTGTTCTCTATTTTCATTCGCGTAAGTCTACAAAAGTTGCAGGTTTCACTAGTGTGAAGAATGACACATTTATCAATTAGATATTCTCTTGTTTTTACTCGCAAAAATGTAATAAAATTGTTTTAATCAGACGGTACGTACTTACGTACATACAGGAATTCAAAGTCACTTCCTCCAAACAAATAAAGTTATTGACGGTAATCGGTTACTACAATGTCCATGTAATCGGTGGTGTTAATGAAAGTGGAAACTTAAGATGAGCAATAACTAACGGATGTTTTCTAGGAACTGTAGATAAATATGCTTGCTAGTTTTAATTTTCATGTCATATTACAGGGAGAATATTTCCTGACGAGGTAGACAATGGACAAAACAAACAAAAACAAAACGTTGTACTTGATCCTCCAGACTTGTCACTCATAAACTAAACGAACACATTTTTGTCGATAGCAGTATATATCTTTAATTTTATTTTGACATTCTTGTTTACTTCAAATAACCTCATTAAATCAAAATTCTTATATTCTAAAGCGTCCAATGTAAATATAGACTTGTCACAGAATCAGCTTTCCATATACTGTCTCACTGATCCATTAAGTTGTCATTCCATAATAACACACTATCTGTAGTGTGGTAGAGTTAATCTGTTTTACCACGGGATCACGTCAGTATGATCAGGTATCGTCGGTTTTCTAGAATTTGCAGTTATCTCCCTTCCATTTCTCACTCTATTACTGGAGCTTCTCCTTTCCGCGTCGACGGTGCTTTTCTTCTTTGCAAAGTGTTTTCTAGACAATGAAAGACATTTGTTACGAAATTAAATATTTATAAGTATCGTCCGCAAAACGCAATCTTGATAAGCATTTGACACGATGTAAAATGTGTATTCGATTTTGTAATAAAATGATTTTGTATCAAAGCATGAAATATTGCACAACAAATATTGTAAGATTATATCCCTTTACACCATCAGGAGACCGTGTCTTTGAATTTGGAAACAAAAGACAATGGACGGAAGAGCAGACAACATTCAGTGTAGTCATAAGTATGTAAACATACAACGGTTACCTGACAAAGTATCCAACCAACAGCAGCAACAGAAGGAGACACAGAAGCCCCCCAACAACTCCCCCGAGAACCAGCGTAGTGTTATCTTCTTCCGCAGCTACCTTCAATATTCACAAAGTGAGATGTCTGATAGTTTTTGATATAATGAGACATATTTTGAATGTTCATCTTTTAGATGTAATGAAAATTGACCCTTTTGACTTTTAAGGATGATGCACAATATATGCTATGACGATCGTTACTGTATAACTTTAACAGTTTAACATGTTCAGAATTTACTTGTACAAAACATTCTTTTCAAATTATTCAATATTGAAGATCCTGAAATTTAATCAAAGACTTCAAGTTCAGGTAAGTACTCTGTTACGTTCAGTACATTATACAGACTCGTCAAAAACTTGTATGATGATAGTCTTTTTACGTATAAGATAAAATAGAAGTGGACATAAACATTGGATGTTGAGGGATGACTTTAGTGTCACAATGTCGGCATTTCTGGGTTTGTGAGTTGACAGAAGATTGTAAATTCTAACTATTTTGAGTAAGAGATGGAGTATTAGTTTGTAGAGCTGTGTAGTATCTGGAATATTTGATGTCGAATGTGCTGTAAGAATTCGAAATCATCATCGTAAGCAAATAAACCATTAATTGTTTCGTAAAATAGATAGATAGAAGCAAGATTCCGTCTGTGTTAAAGTGAGGGCAATTCGATGCTTCGACATGTCTGTTTCATTACAAGTGTAATTGTAGCGACCAAAAGTGGCGACCTGTCTGTTACATTACAAGTGTAACTATAGCGACCAAATATGGCGACATGTCTGTTACATAACAAGTGTAATTGTAGCGACCAAAAGTGACCACATGTCTGTTACATAACAAGTGTAATTGTAGCGACCAAAAATGAATCTAGCAATCTATCGACTCTTTCTTGGATCATTTCTATTTGTTGCCAACCTGCTATTGGTCCCTAATGGGCTACAATGAGGTATGGACAAACAAATACTTGGTAGACAAACTTATTCGATTCTATATTTTATGTATCAATGTTTCTGAGTGATGCGTTGGTATCGTTACTGATGTTATCGATATACAAGTTCCCTGTAATTGCCAATAGGTCTTTTAATTTTTCTTCGTCTGCTTGTTTGAAGGTCTCTCCATGAAGAGTACATCCAAAGATATTAGCATTCTTTTATTAGTATTTTTTGTTTCGTTTTGTTTTTTGGTTATCTGGAGAAAGAAGTCGTTTCGAAAGAACAGTGCATTTGTATCAGAAGACACGGTCAAATAGACGAAGGTGTCGACAACGAAGAGTCTGACATGGCTGTTGATGGAATCTGGCTAGTCATTAATGTGAAGGAAAAATAGACAGGACCCGAGCACTGAGCCCTGGGGAACGCCAGGAAGTACTATTTACAACAACGGATTGACTGCGGTGTAAAGGGAGTTTTCTTTTATCCGCACTTTAACCCAATATACATTTGTATTTATGCCAAAAAAATTAAACGAGCGAGATTAAGAATGGATCTTGAGTTATCTACTTTATCGAAAGTCTTAGAGAAGTCCAGCACAGTTGCATCAGTTTGGCCAGTTCCTAGCTTATCATCAATATATGTAGTGAAGGCATGAAGTTGGGTTTAACGACTACATTTGCAAAGGAAGATTGTAATGGTAAGGATGACATGACGCTGCTGGCGATAGCATGTTCCATGACCTATCAAAAAAGTAGATAATTGATATGGAATTTTTTTGTGGGTTTGTTTTAAGGTGGTATTTGAAGGTTTGTTCAAGTAAGAGTCCAAGTTTACCCACGAACCAGTTTAGGTATAGATTGAGGCTATTTCTTTAAGAAGCCTGTGATGTGGCCTTCTTAGTATCGTGAAAAATCAATGTCGTACTCGGTCTGATTATCTTAGATTCGAACGTGATCTTGGAAACCGTATTCAGTTGTTGCACTTTAAAAAAGATGTCAATCATTCACATGAAACATCTTTGAATTTCAGTCACATTTTTATTAAAATCTTTTCCTATTACAAGTCTTTTAATATATTTGAGAATTAAATGATTCCGAAAGGACTTAACGCGCAATTTTTATATCCTAAACTGTGCCATTATCCGAATTAGCCAAAACATGGCATATAGGTTCAACATGATAATAATATACTGAACGCAGGCTTATCAAGCCTATGATATCCAGATCAGTGTTTAATATCCAGATCAGAGTTTACAAAAGACACAAGATTGATAAATACACCTGCAAAGTATTCAACCTTATGTGAAAGTCACATCACAGCTTGATTAATTTCGTTCCTGTTAATTTCTAGATACCTGTTTTTGAGCTTGTGCGGACTGGCTGGATGATCCATTCGTCGACCTAGAAGTCGATGTTGTAGCAGTAGAATGTGTCTGATAGGACCTCGGTATTGATGACGTCGACAGTGACGTCAGTGATGACGTCGATGATGATGATGATGTAGGTGGATGGTAAGCGATTCTCAAAGTTGAATGTGATGTAGAGGATGTAGATGATGTTATGGACGTGACACGTGATGTAGATGATTTTGAAGACACGACTCTGGATGTGGAGGAAGACATGGCACTATGTTTAGATGAGGTCGTGGACGTAACATTGGGTCCAGGTAAGGTAGTGGATGTGCTGACTGTAGTCTCTATTGTCGTTGATGCTGTCGTTGTAGACACAGCGACATTACACATTGGTCCTGTCGTGAAAAAATCCCTCATTAACATAATTATATGAACATCTCTTACAGCTGTCTATGATGTAATGTCTGCAAAGACATTTAACTCTGTCAAGCATTAAATAAAATGAATAAAACATGTTTATTTGGTCGTGTTTGTGACGTGGTCTGGGGTCTACTTACCACGCCGTCTACTTTCATACTGACGATACTCTGTCCTACTATGTCGGTAACTCAAATGATATTACCAGTATAACCCTTAAATATCAACATCTTTTATGATCGTTAATATATGCCATATGGTGATTTTTATCAATGAGTATTTCGTATAACTGTCCAACAAAACTTTGAGTTTTCTTTAAAATCTACTGCGTTTAACAGTATATTACTGTCTTATTACAGGATTGAAATGTATGTATTCTCAGGAAGAGGGTGAGTATAGGCATTGTTTCTTGTCCAATTTACGTTAAATCTGTTTAATTTAATTTTTAAAAATTGAAATGAAAACATTTATTTTCGCGGTCCTGACACTCACCTGATCGCTTCTTCTGGACAGAAACGCAAAAGCCAAATTTACCTGCTCGGTAATGCGGACGGGAAAAAAACTTGAAACTCACCTGAGTGGCCGTATGGACACAAACACGAGAAACTATTGTTTCCGTCCTGACAGGTACCACCATTGGAGCACGGATTACTCTGGCACTCGTCAATATCTGTAGCGCAGTCATTTCCTGTAAATCCTGAAAAAAAAACCAATACTGTTTATTGTTTCGTTTTGCATTCGTTAAGATTTTTTTTTTGTGAAAAATAAGTTCTGAACTAAAGCGGACAACAAATAAAAGTTCGTTTCTTACCTATATGGTAGATCAGAGTTTGGTAATTTACTCGGATAACAAGTAAGAGTTTGATACGTACCCGGATAAAAGTTTTGATACTTGCCTGGATAATAAATCAGAGAATGCTGCATAACTGGATAACAATTTACAGTTTTGTACTGAACTGGATAAAAAAAATCAGTTTGTTACATACCGAGATAAAAGATACTTCTGATACTTCTCTGGATAACAAGTCAGAAGTTGCTACTTACATGTATTAAACAGATCAGAGTTTGTTATACTACTACCAATACCCGGATAACAAGTGAGAATTAGACACTGACCTGATTAACAGACCAGAGTTTGTTATACTACTACCAGTACCCGGATAACAAGTGAGAATTAGACACTGACCTGATTAACAGATGAGAGTTTGATAGTCACTTGTATAACAAACAAAGTTTGGTACGTACCCGGATAACAAATCAGAGTTCCATTTGGAGCACAGTAGGAGTTGTTTTTTACTTGACAACTCAATGAACAATCACCATAGTAGCCTGGATCGCACGCCAGACTGTACTCCAGCTGTAACCTAAGCAATGGTAAACGATGAAAATCATGCAATTGTCAGGTATTTATATGTAACATTCGGAAAATATGGTTACCAACACAGTCAGTGTATCAACACAGAGTCAGTGTATCAACACCGAGTCAGTGTACCAACACAGAGTCAGTGTATCAACACAGAGTCAGTGTATCAACACAGAGTCAGTGTATCAACAAAGAATCAGTGTACCAACACAGAGTCAGTGTATAAACACAGAGTCAGTGTACCAACACAGAGTCCATGTAACACTACAGAGTCAGTGTACCAACACAAAGTCAGTGTACCAACACAGAGTCCATGTACCAACACAGAGTCAGTGAACCACCATAGTCAGTGTACCAACACAGAGTCAGTGTACCAACACAGAGTCAGTGTACCAACACAGAGTCAGTGTACAAACACAGAGTCAATGTACCAACACACAGTCAGTGTACGAACACAGAGTCAGTGTACCACCACAGAGTCAGTGTACCACCACAGAGTCAGTGTACCAACACAGAGTCAGTGTACCAACACAGAGTCAGTGTACCACCACAGAGTCAGTGTACCACCACAGACTCAGTGTACCAACACAGAGTCCATTTACCAACACAGAGTCATTGTATCAACACAGAGTCAGTGTACCAACACAGAGTCAGTGTATCAACACAGAGTCAGTGTACCAACACAGAGTCCATGTACCAACACAGAGTCAGTGTACCAACACAGAGTCAGTGTATAAACACAGAGTCAGTGTACCAACACAGAGTCCATGTAACACTACAGAGTCGGTGTACCAACACAGAGTCAGTGTACCAACAGAGTAAGTTTACCAACACAGAGTAGAAAAATATCAGACACAAAACACTGCTGTTTGACATACCTCTACATAATTGTCTTAGAAGTTTGACACGAGCTTCTTTTCTTTGTCCTACACTACCGTTCTAATGAATATGTGGACATGCAAGTGACTACAGTAAGGACAAGTACATGTAAAATTTCAGTTTTCAATAGCGATGGAATCATGTATGTAATATACTGTAGTAGATAAGCTTAGTCTAGGTCATTATCATGTTTGGTTAAATCTCTGTTGACGAGGTTTTAGCTACATTGATGTTATATATAAACTGTGATAGATCAGCATAGTCTAGGTCATTATCATGTTTGGTTAAATCTCTGTTGACGAGGTTTTAGTTACAGTGATGTTATATATAAACTGTGATAGATCAGCATAGTCTAGGTCATTATCATGTTTGGTTAAATCTCTGTTGACGAGGTTTTAGCTACATTGATGTTATACCTCATGAAATTGACTTTGTTGAAAGTTGCATCAATATTGCTTCATGAACATAAAAATGACATACGTATATAGCATGTGGTGATGGTAATCGCTGAAACTCACTTCCACATAGACCCACAAAGGCAGATTACGTCATAGACTTACCTCCCTTTAGAATCCCTCAGGCTGATACCTTTATGGACTTACCTTCCCTTTGAGCCCCTCAGACTGATACCTTTGTGAACTTACCTCCTCTTAGAACCCCTCAGGCTGATACCTTTGTGGACTTACCTCCCCTTAGAGCCCCTCAGGCTGATACCTTTGTGGACTTACCTCCGCTTAGAACCCCTCATACTGAGACCATTGTGGACTTATCTCCCCTTAGAACCCTCAGGCTGACACCTTTGTGGACTTGCCTCCTCGTAGAGCATCTCAGGCTGATACCGTTGTGAATCAACCTTCCCTTGGAACCCCTAAGGCTGATACCTTTGTGGACTTACCTCCCCTTAGAACCCCTCAGGCTGATACCTTTGTGGACTTACCTCCCCTTAGAGCCCCTAAGGCTGATACATTAGTGGACTTACCTCCCCTTAGAGCCCCTCAGGCTGATACCTTTGTGGACTTACCTCCCCTTAGAACCCCTCCGGCTGATACCTTTGTGGACTTACCTCCCCTTAGAACCCCTCCGGCTGATACCTTTGTGGACTTACCTCCCCTTAGAACCCCTCAGGCTGATACCTTTGTGGACTTACCTCCCCTTAGAACCCCTGAGGCTAATACCGTTGTGAATTAACCTCCCATTAGAGCCCCTCAGGCTGACCTTTTGTGGACTTGCCTCCTCGTAGAGCATCTCAGGCTGATACCGTTGTGAATCAACCTTCCCTTGGAACCCCTAAGGCTGATACCTTTGTGGACTTACCTCCCCTTAGAACCCCTCAGGCTGATACCTTTGTGGACTTACCTCCCCTTAGAGCCCCTAAGGCTGATACATTTGTGGACTTACCTCCCCTTAGAGCCCCTCAGGCTGATACCTTTGTGGACTTTCCTCCCCTTAGAACCCCTCCGGCTGATACCTTTATTGACTTACCTCCCTTTAGAACCCCTCAGGCTGATACCTTTGTGGACTTACCTCCCCTTAGAACCCCTGAGGCTAATACCGTTGTGAATTAACCTCCCATTAGAGCCCCTCAGGCTGACCCTTTGTGGACTTACCTCCTCGTAGAGCCCCTCAGGATGACACCTTTGTGGACTTACCTCCCCTTAGAACCCCTCCGGCTGATACCTTTGTGAACTTACCTTCCCTTAGAACCCCTCATGCTCAGACCGTTGTGGACGGGTCCATTCTTCAAGTCAAGGAATTGGGATTGAACCATGATGTCCATCGTGTCAACACTTCCACCGATATCAACGTCCTGTACCGTCACGCTGACAACAAATCCAGTCTGTGACAAAGACAACACAGGAAATTATCGACTTTAGCAAAAGAAATAAGGAAACAGCTGAATCTCTATTCTTTTCTGAACGAGTAGATTTCCGGAGATGCTGTATTCTGGCCTATATTTCACCAACCTACTTTTATAAACTGGAAGTAGGAAAAGCACCCTGACTTTATCTTAAGTAATGCTTACTTATTGGTCTTACCAATATATCTATCAGAAACTCAGAAAATTGACAGAGAGTTATATTAATTAATATACACTACACTCATTCCTCTTATTTAAGAATAGCATTATATAGTTTGGGCAGTCCACATAGAGGACAAAACAGAGGACAAAATAGAGGACATACTTGTGATAACTGGTTTGAGACACGGCACAAGTCAAGCCATCCTATATAATGACGACGACAAGATGTCCTACTCATTGATTTAATCCAACTTTTATCAACATTAATACACAATAGACTCTTTGATGTACCTTGGCAAGAACTCTCCAATACAGCATTAAATTGAACCCAAAGATTCTTGTCTGAATGGAATAACCCATCTTGTCTGTTTTATCTTGTACTCAATTCATTCTCCATTGTTCTCTCTTCAGTGTCCAAAGACAGCACCTACTACACTCCCTTTAGTGTCTATCTCTAGATATGCAAACATTTCCTCTTGGTTCTCTTACGGTTGGTGTGGATATTAATAAACCCATTTTTATCGATTTAAAGATTCATTAGCGAAAACGGGCGTCTCTTTTAAGTAAATCTGATTTTTCATTTGTTCAATCTACAAATGTTGTTTCAAGTTTATTTGTTTTTGTTATGTACCCGGCACAGGATTCCGTGTGTATTTGGACAGACCTGTCGACATTTAAAGGGACATCTCGACTTTATCTTGACTCAACTAGAATTTAATTTAATGATAAAAGATGGTTGTGTTTCCTAGTTTTATCTGTAACCTACATTATAGAGTCTGAGCTTTATTTAATACCATTTATTATTTAACTGATCATTTGATTGGTGTGTCTATCCCTGCTTATCATTACATAGGTCATAGGTCTGTTGCCCACTTCCTTTTGTCATTAAGACCTTAACAATAACATATTCTGAAACGAAGAAAAATCAAGACAACCTCAAAAAGGTACAAGGATAAAAACAGTTCCAGAACGGTAATCGTCTTTTATTTCATTGACATCCGCAATGTATATCTTAGTCAATCAATGTTCGTCAATCAATGTAAATCTTCGTCAATCAATGTAAATTAAGTTTCATTCACAAATATTTTTTTGTTCGACAAGAATTGCATTATTCTGTTGAACAATGAAACTTAAGTTTAACACACAAGTACGACATTGTCTAGTTCAGCCGTCTAAACAACCAAAGAATTCTCGGATATTTAAATATTGAATACGTAACTAACCACAAACTCTCTACCACTGAGGATAGTCCATACAATAATTAATTAAATGGAAGCAATGTCAAGCATATACATATCAGCCTGAAAATGGTTAAGAGGAGGTAAGAGAAGATATCCATTGTGAGGTGGTAGGTACATACAAATACTCATGTAGTAGAAAGCAAAACACTTACCAACATTGTACACATGGAACAACAACTAAGGAGACCGTTAACTGACTTACAGGAAACTTTGAACTGAAAATTTAAGACACTACAGAAAATTGTAAGTTGTATATAAAAATTTGTTCATTTGAGTGCCCGTTTATGAATTAACATTGTCGTAACAAAGCCACTCTTATCATACAATTATGAAAAATTCGGAATATTTTCTTCGGGATGGTTATATCGATAGATTAAAAGTTCTTATAACACAACAAGAGGAGATTTCTGACTGTAACGTTTTGATGATAACATGGTCACCTTCATCAGAAAATGACAAGCGTGTAGCGTACTAGCACTGACGTACAGATGGAAAGATGTACTAAATAATGCTAGGTACACCAAGGTCGAAAATAGGGTGACGAGATGGTATACATATTATTATAGATTCTATGATGAAGGTGACCGTGAAGTCAACATCGGAACCAACAGACAACCTAACGAGCATCAAACACGTCCAGCTTCATATCGCACAAGCAAATGAGTTCACTATGGCGGCAGTGAATCACGTAATTTTCCTCAACCTGTATTTTGTGTTACGACTTTGTCCGTCACTTGACGACTTCTTGCACGAAAATCATGATAAAGAAAACAATCCCTTGAATATCGAGTCAACAGCGACATCGGCTGGGGATTCAGGGATATTGCTATCCAGATAGAGAAAATTCACAATAGAGAAATGAAATTGAAATCATCACATTTATCATACAGCTCGGTGGAAAGCTGTCCATGTTTTCTATACAACAAAATTGTTCTTGATGATTGGAAAAGCTACACAGATGTGAATAACACCTTTCAATACAAATTTAAGATAAGGTACAATATACAGTTGAAGTAAAACTGCATTATATATAGTCATTTTATCCGTCAGTGATGTTAGGGACAATGTCGGCCGAAAAAAAATGTAAAAACAGAAATGCATTAACGCAATAAGTAATTTTCACAATATCTTTCTTCAAAGAGCTTTTTACCATTCTTTACTATCCTCGTCTATTCTTTAGTATTTTCTCAATAGGTTGATTTGATTTTGGCCCTCTGTACACCACCATCCCTTCGTTTTCTTGTTAATAGAACTTTCATTTCAAAGGAAGATGAAAGAGGATACAAATACATAGCTGTGGACTGTGCTGAAATATATCTCGTGTAAAACAATTCCAAACCAAAGGAAGCCTATAAGAGGACGAACTGATAACCAAATATCACAGCTTAGGTTGACAATATCTTCGTCGAATTCGATGTTATGACTATATCAAAAAATTGTACCCTCTCCTGGCTCTCTTGTTTTTCGTTTTCAAACGAGATTGGATTAATCGAATGGCTTATCAAAACATGTCAAAAAGACCTTTCATTTTCACTTCCATATATATTGATGACGACTTGTCTTGAAATGACAAGAAATTCATTGACCATGTCTACATGTTTTATATCAACTGAACAGAGACATCGGGAACATGACAGACTGTATTACATCAGCCGGATTCTCCTTACTTAGGTGGTCAGATGTCACAGTTGATGCGATAGTCATGGGTTTGTTTATGGTATTACTTTTTTCCGGGAAAATTTCTACACCTGACTGACAAACTCACAACATGGTATCTCGGAAGATGCTGACTGATGACAATTTCGGAGATTGTTTTAGTTATCTAATGATCTGATTTATTTAGAAATATTCTACTTTCATGTGCGATATTAAGTCCACGTGTTTGATGCCTGATACCTTGCCTGATGTTTACCTTTATTCTAATTTGAGAACGTGACATTATTTACTTGGTTTGATCAAGATCTACATGACAGATGTCGTCAATGAAACAAAAGATGCTTATTCTTCCTGAACACATGGTCTTATCATTTCATTCTTTATGTATGTCCAGGAGTACCCGTGTAATACTCTTTGGTTCGTATTTTGCCCTAATGTCATCGAATTTTAGTAAGAGAAGAAGAAAATCAGAATTATGTCGACATGTGAGTATTTGTTTCTGATCCGTGTCACTAACCACACACATTGATGTTAAAGATAACGGCAAACTTAAGGAACATAATAATCGAATCTTTTATGGTTGAATCTAGACCTCGATAATTACAACATATTTTGATCAATAGTGATAGGCACAAACATTGTACACGATAAATAGTAAGCCAAAACTAGCCTTTTGACATTTTTAGCCCTGATATCAATGAACACAATAAGAATCGCTGAAACACCAACTAGAAATGTAATATCAATACATCTTTATATATATATATATATATATATATATATAGTGTAGACCGGACAACGTACCATATAGTGTACTAATGTTAATAATGAGGACACTAGAAATATACCACCACGAATATGTCAGAAAATATTGATAGATTGGATTTAGTTGTATTAGGAAAACAGAACACGTAAGTAATCGGTATCAATACTTCCTAAAAAATAAAAGCAAAATGGCACACGAATTAAACTTTGTTTTAAACGAGAGATTTGTTTACACAAATTATTGAATATCCAAATATGACATGCGGGTTTTAAATTCCAAGCTTAACTATATCTCAGTTAATGCTTTTGGTATTTAAATAGCATCAAAATAAAATTCTTTGAATCGAGATAAATTTCCTTTTAAGCGGTAATGTAATCTCTGTTTGAAATCTTAAGGGAATCAGTCTGATCTATACTTTACCTGGTACAAATTGTACCGATCAGCTAAAAATGCTTGTTATCTTAACGAACATATCTATATATTAATCTATCATGTCAGCTTTACAGTAAATCAAGATTAGATCAATATTGGAAATATTTGTAAACCAATCTAACAAAAACTGATATTTTCAATAAATGTAGCACATACACAAAAATCTATGAAATGCTTTCACGCATATTAAAAGAAAATGTTCACGGTGCAGAAATAGGTAAATCATTTAATTTAGATTAAAACTATTACAGAAAATCAGGTTTGTAAAATGTAATGGTTGATATTTTCGGCATGTAGATATACCATTTATCATAAAAATAAAGTAAATTTGGTATTACAAGTTTCATAAAAACATTAATAAAATCAAGTAAATGGTAGTTTGTCCCTTATAAAAAGACAGCAAAAGACTTTTTTTTCAAGTTGAAAACGCTTTTAAAACATATTGATAGTTCAATATCTAATCGATGTTTAACCTCGAGTGAACCATTTGGTAAGTTCTATATTTGATATGTGGTATAACTACTTGAATACTAGTGTCCTAATATTGATTTCTTGTAACCAGTGGATTAGGACTAGATCATTGAATCGTTCTCATTTTTTTAATCCATAAGAAGGTCAAAGGAACATTTCCCTACAGTTTGATTTCGAGGCTCATTTTTCCTGTTAAAATGTAGAAATCCTCAATTAAAAAACAATAGACAGATTCTGTTGCAATTATGGACAGGTTATAACCAAAAGCACAAATAAATATGAATAAATGAATAAGAAAAAAACACTATATGTGCACATCGTATATGCTAAAACCTAGACATTGATTAACGTCCCAACGTCACTGCCAAATAGCTGATGTGAAGTTGTTTTAACCACGTCAATAATTTGACGGAGAATTAATATAATAAATATATTCCCGATTAGAAATAAAGAGTCGAACACCTTACGACAATTGTAACTTTCGTTAGTTTTGAAATGTTTGCTGAATTACCTTCCAGGATGAGAAGTTGAAGTGTAATGGGTTTGAAACGTCTCCGAACGTGTCGTTGAATATGACGCTGTTGGTGTCATTAAACACGTGTGACTCTGCCCTCGCCAAGGAACATTGACTACAACGAAATAAAATGTTAATCAGGTAAGTTTATTTATCATAACAATAGGTATTAAAATTCATTTGAACAAAGCATTCAGACGTTTCGCCATTCTAGGACTAGTCGGATATGTTGTTCCCTATAACTTGGAATTCTAGATGACGTGTAAAGTAATCAGAATCTATCAACACAAATGATAAACTAGAAATCTGGGGATACACTAAGCCGTCATTCCAATAAAAGAATGTCTAGAACATATTTATATTCCGAACTTTGTCACTCTCACATGATCTTGTGATTTGACGGAAGACGGAAACACTAATGTCTCTTGTCATGTAATAAGAGACAAAAACAAAAATACCCCGTCTCTGATGTGATTGGCTACGAGAACTAAAAACATACCCTTTTTATGTGGTGAAAGACAAAAATATAAATATACATCGTGAAAAGATGACGAAAAAACAAGAATCCCCTCGAGGTAGCGAGGAAGGGAAACACAAATATCCCGCGTAATGGGATGGGACGGAAACATAAATATTCCTCGTAATGGGATGGGGGACAGAAACATAAATATTCCGCGTAATGGGATGGGGACAGAAACATAAATATCCCTCGTAATGGGATGGGTACAGAAACATAAATATCCCTCGTAATGGGATGGGGACAGAAACATTAATATCCCTCGTAAACGGATGGGGACAGAAACATAAATATCCCTCGTAATGGGATGGGGACGGAAACATAAATATCCCTCGTAATGGGATGGGGACGGAAACATAAATATCCCTCGTAATGGGACGGGGACAGAAACATAAATATCCCTCGTAATGGGACGGGGACAGAAACATAAATATCCCTCGTAATGGGACGGGGACAGAAACATAAATATCCCTCGTAATGGGATGGGGCCGGAAACATAAATATCCCTCGTAATGGGATGGGGCCGGAAACATAAATATCTCTCGTTATGGGACGGGGACGGAAACATAAATATCCCTCGTAATGGGACGGGGACAGAAACATAAATATCCCTCGTAATGGGACGGGGACAGAAACATAAATATCCCTCGTAATGGGACGGGGACAGAAACATAAATATCTATCGTAATGGGACGGGGACGGAAACATAAATATCCCTCGTAATGGGATGGGGACGGAAACACAAATACCCCTCGTAATGGGATGGGGACGGAAACATAAATATCTCTCGTAATGGGACGGGGCCGGAAACATAAATATCTCTCGTTATGGGACGGGGACGGAAACATAAATATCCCTCGTAATGGGACGGGGACAGAAACATAAATATCCCTCGTAATGGGACGGGGACGGAAACATAAATATCCCTCGTAATGGGACGGGGACAGAAACATAAATATCCCTCGTAATGGGACGGGGACAGAAACATAAATATCCCTCGTAATGGGACGGGGACAGAAACATAAATATCCCTCGTAATGGGACGGGGACGGAAACATAAATATCCCTCGTAATGGGATGGGGACGGAAACACAAATACCCCTCGTAATGGGATGGGGACGGAAACATAAATATCTCTCGTTATGGGACGGGGACGGAAACATAAATATCCCTCGTAATGGGACGGGGCCGGAAACATAAATATCTCTCGTAATGGGACGGGGCCGGAAACATAAATATCTCTCGTAATGGGACGGGGCCGGAAACATAAATATCTCTCGTTATGGGACGGGGACGGAAACATAAATATCCCTCGTAATGGGACGGGGACAGAAACATAAATATCCCTCGTAATGGGATGGGGACGGAAACATAAATATCCCTCGTAATGGGATGGGGACAGAAACACAAATATCCCTCGTAATGGGATGGGGACGGAAACATAAATATCCCTCGTAATGGGACGGGGACGGAAACATAAATATCCCTCGTAATGGGACGGGGACGGAAACACAAATATTCCTCGTAACGGGACGGGGACGGAAACATAATATCCCTCGTAATGGGACGGGGACGGAAACATAAATATCCCTCGTAATGGGACGGGGCCGGAAACATAAATATCTCTCGTAATGGGACGGGGCCGGAAACATAAATATCCCTCGTAATGGGACGGGGACGGAAACATAAATATCCCTCGTAATGGGATGGGGCCGGAAACATAAATATCCCTCGTAATGGGATGTGGACGGAAACATAAATATCCCTCGTAATGGGACGGGGACGGAAACACAAATATTCCTCGTAACGGGACGGGGACGGAAACATAATATCCCTCGTAATGGGACGGGGACAGAAACATAATTATCTCTCGTAATGGGCCGGGGCCGGAAACATAAATATCCTTCGCAATGGGACGGGGCCGGAAACATAAATATCCCTCGCAATGGGACGGGGACGGAAACATAATATCCTTCGTAATGGGACGGGGCCGGAAACATAAATTTCCCTCGCAATGGGACGGGGACGGAAACATAAATATCTCTCGTAATGGGACGGGGCCGGAAACATAAATATCTCTCGTTATGGGACGGGGACGGAAACATAAATATCCCTCGTAATGGGACGGGGCCGGAAACATAAATATCCCTCGTAATGGGACGGGGACGGAAACATAAATATCTCTCGTAATGGGACGGGGCCGGAAACATAAATATCCCTCGTAATGGGATGTGGACGGAAACATAAATATCCCTCGTAATGGGACGGGGACGGAAACACAAATATTCCTCGTAACGGGACGGGGACAGAAACATAATTATCTCTCGTAATGGGCCGGGGCCGGAAACATAAATATCCTTCGCAATGGGACGGGGCCGGAAACATAAATATCCCTCGCAATGGGACGGGGATGGAAACATAATATCCTTCGTAATGGGACGGGGCCGGAAACATAAATTTCCCTCGCAATGGGACGGGGACGGAAACATAAATATCTCTCGTAATGGGACGGGGCCGGAAACATAAATATCTCTCGTTATGGGACGGGGACGGAAACATAAATATCCCTCGTAATGGGACGGGGCCGGAAACATAAATATCTCTCGTAATGGGACGGGGCCGGAAACATAAATATATCTCGTAATGGGACGGTAATTAGTAGCGTTCATTAGTAAAACAAAACTCAGAGATTCGTTTACTTAACCGATACCCTTCCTCTCCCTGTTTCTACATTAAATGACAATTTTTCCATAGACATCAGATACATATAAAGATAAGTTTCCTACCTAGTGACTGGCTGCTGGTTCACACAGACGGTGAATTTCGGGTCGCACTGGTTTGTTTTACATCTACTATAAAGAAAGTGATCACAGCATTGTCCACTAGCCAACTGCTGGGTAGGATTATCATAGGAGAGCAATTTTAACATCCCTGTTCCTCCCGAGGAGACGACCTGAGAACAAAACCCAGTTACTCGCACTTACATTTAGATATGTCAGGTTGAGTGTACATTTAATGAAAAATGTATATTCACGGGTTTTTCAGATTTTGAACGAATTTTATTCGCATTCGTTAAACATATTGCAGAGAAATGCGAGAAACTTTATGCAAACAGGGTCTGTTGGCATAATTACATACAAGGTTTATATTTTCAAGAATCGAGTTGATCTTTTGTTACCAATTTTCATGAACTTATGAAAGTAAGGCGAGTATATGTGTGTATCGTGTACTGTGAATTACACTTACCGGGATTAAACAAGAAAACAGAAATCCAGGCAGTGAAGTCCACATCCTCACCACAAATCCACTCTTCATGGCAATATTTTAAAGCTTATCACAGAATGTCCAGTCGAAGTCGCAGTTTCCAAGTGAGTCGTGAAGTGGATGTTGGTTTATTGAAAAATATAAATAGTAATTTTACTGTCGAGTGTCGGACATAAACATGCTATATCGGTCAATATATGAATTTATGAAGGGTTATATTAATAGAAACATTCAATTCAGATCTGATCACTGTCCTTTCACATGTTATTACGATAGGACACGAGGACAAGGCACTGGCGACTTATCTTCCACATGTTGGCAATCGGCTGTCTTTGATCTGTTAAGCTTACCCGACTACCCGCCTTAGTGCTGAAGTTACGAGCTCCCCATTTAGTCATTCAGTCTGTTTAGAGCCAACCATTTCATCATCCAGATCTTACTTTCTTTTTCTTTCTGAACATATATTAACCTATTTGTTATCAAAATTTGCTTGTTTTGTTGATCGATATTGTAGTTTACTTATAGCAATTAAAGACTTGTGTTAGAATTATGATTGACTGAAATAGTTTCTAAGCTGGTCTAACCCCACCTCTTTATCTCCCACTGATAGTAAATAGTGTTAACCTATTTCAAGGTAGTAACGATGTTAATGAGGACACCTAACAACCTCACCTTAACATTAAAATCCTGTCCATGGTAATAATGATAGATTTTTATTTAACATGAGTAATTGATCATACATGTTGCTGATAAAAAAGTAAAACCATCTCACATAGAATCATTAATCATAAAAACACGAGAGTTTGGTTGTTGCCAAATGGAATTCATGAAATACATCTTGTTCCTCAACAGTGTACGGAACTCTAGTGAAGTCGTTTCTGATCATGGTATGCACACCAAGAATGTGTCATAAAATTGACTACTGCATCATCATTCAATTAGCTTGTAACATGCCTTCTGTAATATAACTAATTAATCCTCGTTTGTCTGATCCTCGCCTTCTGTAATATAACTTATTAATCCTCGTTTGTCTTATCCTCGCCATCTGTAATATAACTTATTAATCCTCGTTTGTCTTATCCTCGCCTTCTGTAATATAACTAATTAATCCTCGTTTGTCTTATCCTCGCCTTCCGTAATATAACTAATTAATCCTCGTTTGTCTGATCCTCGCCTTCCGTAATATAACTAATTAATCCTCGTTTGTCTTATCCTCGCCTTCTGTAATATAACTTATTAATCCTCGTTTGTCTTATCCTCGCCTTCCGTAATATAACTAATTAATCCTCGTTTGTCTGATCCTCGCCATCTGTAATATAACTAATTAATCCTCGTTTGTCTTATCCTCGCCTTCTGTAATATAACTAATTAATCCTCGTTTGTCTTATCCTCGCCTTCTGTAATATAACTTATTAATCCTCGTTTGTCTTATCCTCGCCATCTGTAATATAACTAATTAATCCTCGTTTGTCTTATCCTCGCCTTCCGTAATATAACTAATTAATCCTCGTTTGTCTTATCCTCGCCTTCTGTAATATAACTTATTAATCCTCGTTTGTCTTATCCTCGCCTTCTGTAATATAACTAATTAATCCTCGTTTGTCTGATCCTCGCCATCTGTAATATAACTAATTAATCCTCGTTTGTCTTATCCTCGCCTTCTGTAATATAACTAATTAATCCTCGTTTGTCTTATCCTCGCCTTCTGTAATATAACTAATTAATCCTCGTTTGTCTTATCCTCGCCTTCCGTAATATAACTAATTAATCCTCGTTTGTCTGATCCTCGCCATCTGTAATATAACTAATTAATCCTCGTTTGTCTTATCCTCGCCTTCTGTAATATAACTAATTAATCCTCGTTTGTCTTATCCTCGCCTTCTGTAATATAACTTATTAATCCTCGTTTGTCTATTCTCGCCATCTGTAATATAACTAATTAATCCTCGTTTGTCTTATCCTCGCCTTCTGTAATATAACTAATTAATCCTCGTTTGTCTGATCCTCGCCATCTGTAATATAACTAATTAATCCTCGTTTGTCTTATCCTCGCCTTCCGTAATATAACTAATTAATCCTCGTTTGTCTTATCCTCGCCTTCTGTAATATAACTTATTAATCCTCGTTTGTCTTATCCTCGCCTTCTGTAATATAACTTATTAATCCTCGTTTGTCTTATCCTCGCCTTCTGTAATATAACTAATTAATCCTCGTTTGTCTGATCCTCGCCATCTGTAATATAACTAATTAATCCTCGTTTGTCTTATCCTCGCCTTCTGTAATATAACTAATTAATCCTCGTTTGTCTTATCCTCGCCTTCTGTAATATAACTAATTAATCCTCGTTTGTCTTATCCTCGCCTTCCGTAATATAACTAATTAATCCTCGTTTGTCTGATCCTCGCCATCTGTAATATAACTAATTAATCCTCGTTTGTCTTATCCTCGCCTGTAATATAACTAATTAATCCTCGTTTGTCTTATCCTCGCCTTCTGTAATATAACTAATTAATCCTCGTTTGTCTTATCCTCGCCTTCCGTAATATAACTAATTAATCCTCGTTTGTCTGATCCTCGCCTTCTGTAATATAACTTATTAATCCTCGTTTGTCTTATCCTCGCCATCTGTAATATAACTAATTAATCCTCGTTTGTCTTATCCTCGCCATCTGTAATATAACTAATTAATCCTCGTTTGTCTTATCCTCGCCTTCTGTAATATAACTGATTAATCCTCGTTTGTCTTATCCTCGCCTTCTGTAATATAACTGATTAATCCTCGTTTGTCTTATCCTTGCATTCTGTAATATGACTGGTAAGTCCTCGTTTGTCTTATCCTCGCCTTCTGTAATATAACTGATTAATCCTCGTTTGTCTTATCCTCGCCTTCTGTAATATAACTAATTAATCCTCGTTTGTCTTATCCTCGCCTTCTGTAATATAACTGATTAATCCTCGTTTGTCTTATCCTCGCCTTCTGTAATATAACTAATTAATCCTCGTTTGTCTTATCCTCGCCTTCTGTAATATAACTGATTAATCCTCGTTTGTCTTATCCTCGCCTTCTGTAATATAACTAATTAATCCTCGTTTGTCTTATCCTTGTCATCTGTAATATAACTAATTAATCCTCGTTTGTCTTATCCTCGCCTTCTGTAATATAACTGATTAATCCTCGTTTGTCTTATCCTCGCCTTCTGTAATATAACTAATTAATCCTCGTTTGTCTTATCCTTGTCATCTGTAATATAACTAATCAATCCTCGTTTGTCTTATCCTCGCCTTCTGTAATATAACTGATTAATCCTCGTTTGTCTTATCCTCGCCTTCTGTAATATAACTAATTAATCCTCGTTTGTCTTATCCTCGCCTTCTGTAATATAACTGATTAATCCTCGTTTGTCTTATCCTCGCCTTCTGTAATATAACTAATTAATCCTCGTTTGTCTTATCCTTGTCATCTGTAATATAACTAATTAATCCTCGTTTGTCTTATCCTCGCCTTCTGTAATATAACTAATTAATCCTCGTTTGTCTTATCCTTGTCATCTGTAATATAACTAATTAATCCTCGTTTGTCTTATCCTCGCCTTCTGTAATATAACTAATTAATCCTCGTTTGTCTTATCCTTGTCATCTGTAATATAACTAATTAATCCTCGTTTGTCTTATCCTCGCCTTCTGTAATATAACTGATTAATCCTCGTTTGTCTTATCCTCGCCTTCTGTAATATAACTGGTAAGTCCTCGTTTGCCTTATCCTTGCTTTCTGTTATATAACTGGTTTGTCTTCGTTTGTCTTATCCTCGCCTTCTGTAATATGACTGGTAAGTCCTCGTTTGTCTTATCCTCGCCTTCTTTAATATACCTGGGAAATCTCTAGCTTTCGTATCACATGACTTTTGTACCAGAAAGAAAACAATTTAATCAGATGCAGGATTTATTTTTCTCCTACACGATTATTTTACCGTATTACTTACTTAATGATAATGAGACTGACTTCAGTAGATATCTCGCTATTATATATTGACCCTGTATACTCACCGTCACTACTTGGAGAACAATTACATAGATCATACCTGGTGTCAAAACTATTCTTTATGTTATTTGACTATTTTATCCTAATTTGTCTTACAAGATTCTTTTTGCAATATACCCAGCAAATCCTCATTTATCTAACAAAAGGATTTCTGTAAACATACTTGGCTAATCCTGATTAATAAAATGCTTTCTGTAACATGCATGGCTTATCATTATTAACAAGATCTTTCTATGTTTATGCTTGGTTCATTCTCATTTATAAGTTACTTTCTTCAACACACATGGCTTACCTCAAACTTGTGATGTGCCTTGTGTAGTACACTCTACCCCTACCCTCAAAGTTTTTATATTGTGCAATTTTATCTCTGTATTTTGATGTACATTGTACCACGATGTTGACCAGTCAGTACATGTGTACAGAATAGCTATATGATGTTGTTTAACTGTTACGTCAACTTAGCCCCCCTACAGTTTGAAAGGTCACAACTGTCGAGAGACACAGAATTCGTCTGCTGGAAGGCCGAATGGCAGTAATATGGTCCGTTATATCTATACATAACATAATAATGTAAGTCAAGGATGGACATCACCGATTTACTACAGTTAGGTGACAGTCAAGTACCAGTAAGGTGTAGAATGGCGTTTTTATGTTTATACATAAACAGTTTTCTATGTCCGAAATTCTCTTAACACTGTAACGTCTTCATCACGGCAGTTTTACGACACGATCATGGTAGTTTCTTTAGGATGATGAAACAACTGAAATATTATAGATAGTTTCCATGGAATCATGGACCTACAATTCTGATGCAACACTCTTAACATATATATATGTAAATAACTACTAATTGTGTATGCTTAAAATCTGTAGTCTGCCAAACAGAAGTAAGAAATCGTATCATATTACCCAAAATGTGAGAACGACACTCCACGTTGGCAGTTTTCTGATTGGTCATTAATTTTAAAGGGTTATTTTGATTGGCTGTAGTCCATGCAGAGGATTCTAGAAGAATCCCCCCTGAATAAAGAGACCAAACCCCTGTCAAATATTCTCTCAGAAAAGAAAGCCCTGCTTCATCCGTACTGTTCTTGTGCCTGTCTGCAGGTAAGTGTTTGTCACACTAGTCCATCACCACCCTGTACTGGACGGAGGTAGTAGCACGGACATACAGGATATGATACGTACCAATAGTGCAGACATTTACATGTGATTTGTGTTTACATGTAGTTGTGACGGCCTTGTTAGCAAACCCCTCTATCTGTACAAACCTTGGGTTCAAAGGTTTACTTACCAAGCCTGTAGGCGAAAACTTATCATCTCTTGTTCTTATTTCAAACTAGAGGATATTGTGGTATAAATGTATTTTTTAAATTACTACCAAACATAATATGACATATGTCGGAAATGTTTCAGCAATTTTAGAAAATACGAAATTATTTTCTAGACTTTTTGCTGTATCAAAATTAGAATTTGTTTGCAAGGTTGCGAGGAAAGAAGTCCTTTGGTTCCAAAATGTGAATTTGTATGGTATATTTGATATAACCAGAGACATGGATACGTCTCTGATATAACGATCGCTTGGCTGCTATGTGGTATGATATGTATAACAGTGGCTCTGCTATATTAACTCCCTATGGGATAGCTGACACGTCATCACTCAACAGAGCTACTTCTCACCATATCCTACAGTAACAGCCACCTGCTATGCTAGGTTTTGTGATGAAGGAACCAGGCAATTTGTTTTTCGTGTTGTATCTTTTTGAAATTATTTAGATATAATTTTTAAAAAATAATTAAACGGAAAAAACGGAAAAAGAAAACTTTTCTGCAGAATACATTATGAAAAAAAATCGAAATATGATTATGACAAATGTATTACACAGACTTTACAAGCACTCTTATATCTTTACAGAAACACCTATTTTATGCGGCTTATGACATGATATGAATGCTAATGTGCAGATTTTAGATTGACTCAAGTGTATTAGATAGATTTTATTTTGACTCCTAAATATCTTGCCGGTTTTATTTTGACGCATGCATCTAATGCAAACATAATTTTCACTCATCCACTTAATGTGAACGTTATTATAACTCATTCCCTAAGTGTGATCGTTATTTTGACCAATCCACTTCATTTGAACATTATTTTGACTCATTCACTTAATGTGAATGTATTTTTGACACATCCACTTAATGTGAACGTATTTTTGACTCATCCACTTAATGTGAACGTTATTTTGACTCGTTCACTTAATGTAAACGTTATTTTGACTCATCCACTTAATGTGAACGTTATTTTGACCCATCCACTTAATGTGAACGTAGTTTTGACCCATCCACTTAATGTGAGCGTTATTTTGACTCATTTTGACTCGTTCACTTAATGTAAACGTTATTTTGACTCATCCACTTAATGTGAACGTTATTTTGACTCATCCACTTAATGTGAACGTTATTTTGACTCATCCACTTAATGTGAACGTTATTTTGACTCACCCACTTAATGTGAACGTTAAATGCATATAGTGTCAACATTGCTTTGACACATATGTATTGTACAGACGTGTATACTGAGATTTTTATTTTACATAATAACTGTACATTCATGAGACATGGTAATTTCATGCTGGCAATATTTTGACATTTGTATTTTGAATTATTAAAGTTCACACACTTTGGCTTGAAAACAAGGAAGGATGGAGAGTGAGTATGATTACAACATCGCTAACACACAACATCCTACCTAAGTATGTATATCGTCACATCAGATAGGAAAGGGTTTTCTCGGAAGCGATAGCTTTTTGTTTACTATAACTCCATTTTATGATCATTTCCGGTTTGTAATAACTCCAGAAGAGACAATTTTCCCGATTTCCGTTTTTGTTAATTTTTTTGTGGCGGCATTTGGAAATATTTCCTTATTTTGTTTCGTGATTTTTCAAATTTTCTACAAAACGATATTATTTCTACATCGCTGAATTTTGCTATCTTGCTATGAGAAAACCAGACTTTTCATTCTGTTTGAATTCATTGAATAATTGATTTGTTTGTAATTAAGGACATTTGATTACACACTCGTACATCATAAAATCATGTGTGTAAGTCTATGTAACATATCCATGTACTTGTAGGGATTTATTGGTATAAAGTAAATATATAAGAATTGGGACGTATGCCAACTACACCATGTATTCTACCTATAAGCTTGGTTTTTGTAGTATTTGGTATTGATGGAGGTTTATACAGATATTTAAAGACAAACAAAAGCTTCATCAAAACTATCTCACGATAGTACACTTACACACCAACATTTTTATCTAAACGAGCTATCTCGTATACTTACGGAGATTTCTTAGTGGTGTATATTTCTTGGAGATATATCTGAATAACTGATGTATTTGAAAACAAATACTTGACCGTAATGGTATGAGATCATTTTACTCGATCAATGCCACTTGATATGAGACCTGATACATTAATTAAATGTGTTAAGTTATGTAACGTGTTTTTATAGAGGAGATGTCGTCCAGAATCCGCGTTTACATTATTTTCAGTTCATATAAAGCTTTTACAAACAATCCTCAGTTAGATGTAAACTTGTCCTAAAAGTAGGTGGCGCTGCTCGGACTTATCAGCGGAGGAAGCTGTTCATGTTTATACACTTGTACACGTTGGAGTGCGGATGCACCACACATACATATACGTGTACACGTGTGTTGGCCAGTAAATGCATTTAGCACGCGTGTGGTTATATGAGCACGGATAAATTACACAGTGTAAGTGTTTATCTTAATTCAGTGTACACGTGCCAGTAGTGACATGGTTGTGTATCACACGTGTAAGCTTTTGCGGGTTTGCAGGGAGGGTAGTAGTTGAAAGCTCGTTCGTGTGTATGTATGTAGACGGGTTGGGATGACCGGAGGATGTTTCAGTTTTTATTTCAGACGTTCAACATGCGTATCCAGCGATTGGCAGTGTTGTTGTTTGTGATTGTCACTGGTTCTCGTGCATTGGTAAGTACAAATAGTATCGTATCCGAGTCATACTTAGATCAGGTGGTCACCATCTTAAATCATTATGGATATGAAATGATGACAAAAAGAGGCTGAGACGTATGCCTCTCATGGTTACTAACTATATCGGTATGTTAAGTTGTATGAATGGTCCATCCTCGACTCTTGGTTTTGTGTTTTAAAGGACATAGTTATAGAAAGAAAGCTCTTTAAACCAAAATCCTTTGTTCATGTTTGGTTTTTAGAGATGATGGGGATAAAAAATGGATATAAAGATAGAAAGTTCACAATATATAAAGGATCTCGTGCGTGAATGGCAGTAATTAGTAGTTTCGTTCAGTTATAGATACATAATCCTATTCGTCTGTCTTTAGTACAGAAATTGCACATTATTTTTTCTGTAATTTAAATCTGGGACTAGGTCTGTCTTACCGGGTAATCTAACCCTGGGACTTGGTCTTTCTTACCGGGTAATTTAACCCTGGGACTAGGTCTTTCTTACCGGGTAATCTAACCCTGGGACTAGGTCTTTCTAACCGGGTAATTTAACCCTGGGACTAGGTCTTTCTAACCGGGTAATTTAACCCTGGGACTAGGTCTTTCTTACCGGGTAATTTAACCCTGGGACTAGGTCTTTCTTACCGGGTAATCTAACCCTGGGACTAGGTCTTTCTAACCGGACCACAAACTAGGCCAGTGATGTATCCTTCCAAATTGTTATAAAAATTATGACCGGAGGCAATGCAAAACGAAGTGAAGTTTTTGAAAAAGCCTAGGAAAGGAATGAATTTCCTCTCAACTTTTTTCGAACAGTAATTATTGATATTAAAACACCGTGTTATATGTTATGACAGTCGTTGTCCGACCTCCCCCATGAGATCGACGGGAAACACAATGATCATTATGACCACGAGGTCTTCTTAGGAAAGGACAATGCAGAGGAGTTCGAACATCTGACGGAAACGGAGAGTAAGCGGCGCCTTGGGTAGGTAGTCTTCAGTCAACATTAACTCGTAGGTAACTCAATCACATGAACTTGTAGGTAACTCAATCACATTAACTTGTAGGTACTCAATCACATTAACTCGTAGGTAACTCAATCACATTGATTCGTAAGTAACTCAATCATATTTTGTCGAGCACTCCTTTGCTTTGGTGTCTTGTCATTCATTGTGACATTGTTACTACACAGTCTGATCGTGGACAAGATAGATAACAACGGAGACGGGAAGGTTACTGAAGTGGAACTCACAGACTGGATCTGGTATGTCCGCACCAGCTTTGTGGCCAACGACACAAACCGACTCTGGCTTCATCATGACCATGAAGATGGCAAATTATCGTGGTCAGCCTTTATCAAAAAGGCATTCGGAAAATTTGATGGTAGGTATAACACAAAAAAAGCATCACTAAAATTCATGAACATACAGCCAGACAAAAACAAAATCACACACAGTGTGCCACACTGGTAACATGTAAAGACAACACGCGTACAAAACACACAAGTAAATAACACCTTTCAATACATATTTAGAGTTAGAACTGCATCGTACAGCTGTTTTGTCCTTTTAGGACACGTCAGTGATGACGTATTTTATGTGTCTTCCACCCTCAAATATTCTCGAGGGGCAGGGAGAATATAGTTACCACTTCCTCCGTCCGCCCGTCTTTTGTCCGTCCTTTTGTATCCGGAACATAACTTTACCCACAGTTAAGCCAGGTTCCCGAAAATTGAGTATACACTGGTCATACTAAAACAATGTACACTGTACCAATCAAGGACCTCACAGCACCCTATTTATAGAATTGTTGCCCTTTCTGGATCAACTTTAATTGCTTGCATTTAAATCAGAACAGTAAAACTTGATGTATACTTTGGCTTCTCTGTAATAGACAGGTGTATTACGACTGTTTTACAAGTTCTCTGTAATAGACAGGTGTATTACGACTGTTGTACAAGTTCTCTATAATAGACAGGTGTATTACGACTGTTGTACAAGTTCTCTATAATAGACAGGTGTATTACGACTGTTGTACAAGTTCTCTGTAATAGACAGGTGTATTACGACTGTTTTACAAGTTCTCTGTAATAGACAGGTGTATTACGACTGTTGTACAAGTTCTCTGTAATAGACAGGTGTATTACGACTGTTTTACAAGTTCTCTGTAATAGACAGGTGTATTACGACTGTTTTACAAGTTCTCTGTAATAGACAGGTGTATTACGACTGTTTTACAAGTTCTCTGTAATAGACAGGTGTATTACGACTGTTTTACAAGTTCTCTGTAATAGACAGGTGTATTACGACTGTTTTACAAGTTCTCTGTAATAGACAGGTGTATTACGACTGTTTTACAAGTTCTCTGTAATAGACAGGTGTATTACGACTGTTTTACAAGTTCTCTGTAATAGACAGGTGTATTACGACTGTTTTACAAGTTCTCTGTAATAGACAGGTGTATTACGACTGTTTTACAAGTTCTCTGTAATAGACAGGTGTATTACGACTGTTTTACAAGTTCTCTGTAATAGACAGGTGTATTACGACTGTTTTACAAGTTCTCTGTAATAGACAGGTGTATTACGACTGTTGTACAAGTTCTCTGTAATAGACAGGTGTATTACGACTGTTGTACAAGTTCTCTGTAATAGACAGGTGTATTACGACTGTTGTACAAGTTCTCTATAATAGACAGGTGTATTACGACTGTTGTACAAGTTCTCTATAATAGACAGGTGTATTACGACTGTTTTACAAGTTCCCTGTAATAGACAGATGTATTACGACTGTTTTACAAGTTCTCTATAATAGACAGGTGTATTACGACTGTTTACGACTGTTTTACAAGTTCTCTGTAATAGACAGGTATATTACGACTGTTTTACAAGTTCTCTATAATAGACAGGTGTATTACGACTGTTGTACAAGTTCTCTATAATAGACAGGTGTATTACGACTGTTTTACAAGTTCTCTATAATAGACAGGTGTATTACGACTGTTGTACAAGTTCTCTGTAATAGACAGGTGTATTACGACTGTTGTACAAGTTCTCTATAATAGACAGGTGTATTACGACTGTTGTACAAGTTCTCTATAATAGACAGGTGTATTACGACTGTTTTACAAGTTCTCTGTAATAGACAGGTGTATTACGACTGTTTTACAAGTTCTCTGTAATAGACAGGTGTATTACGACTGTTTTACAAGTTCTCTGTAATAGACAGGTGTATTACGACTGTTTTACAAGTTCTCTGTAATAGACAGGTGTATTACGACTGTTTTACAAGTTCTCTGTAATAGACAGGTGTATTACGACTGTTTTACAAGTTCTCTGTAATAGACAGGTGTATTACGACTGTTTTACAAGTTCTCTGTAATAGACAGGTGTATTACGACTGTTTTACAAGTTCTCTGTCTTCTGTAATAGACAGGTGTATTACGACTGTTTTACAAGTTCTCTGTAATAGACAGGTGTATTACGACTGTTGTACAAGTTCTCTGTAATAGACAGGTGTATTACGACTGTTTTACAAGTTCTCTATAATAGACAGGTGTATTACGACTGTTTTACAAGTTCTCTGTAATAGACAGGTGTATTACGACTGTTTTACAAGTTCTCTGTAATAGACAGGTGTATTACGACTGTTTTACAAGTTCTCTGTAATAGACAGGTGTATTACGACTGTTTTACAAGTTCTCTGTAATAGACAGGTGTATTACGACTGTTTTACAAGTTCTCTGTAATAGACAGGTGTATTACGACTGTTTTACAAGTTCTCTGTAATAGACAGGTGTATTACGACTGTTTTACAAGTTCTCTATAATAGACAGGTGTATTACGACTGTTGTACAAGTTCTCTGTAATAGACAGGTGTATTACGACTGTTTTATAAGTTCTCTATAATAGACAGGTGTATTACGACTGTTGTGTAAGTTCTCTATAATAGTCAGGTGTATTACGACTGTTGTACAAGTTCTCTATAATAGACAGGTGTATTACGACTGTTTTACAAGTTCTCTGTAATAGACAGGTGTTGTACAAGTTCTCTATAATAGACAGGTGTATTACGACTGTTTTACAAGTTCTCTATAATAGACAGGTGTATTACGACTGTTTTACAAGTTCTCTATAATAGACAGGTGTATTACGACTGTTTTACAAGTTCTCTATAATAGACAGGTGTATTACGACTGTTTTAAGTTCTCTGTAATAGACAGGTGTATTACGACTGTTTTACAAGTTCTCTGTAATAGACAGGTGTATTACGACTGTTTTACAAGTTCTCTGTAATAGACAGGTGTATTACGACTGTTTTACAAGTTCTCTGTAATAGACAGGTGTATTACGACTGTTTTACAAGTTCTCTATAATAGACAGGTGTATTACGACTGTTTTACAAGTTCTCTGTAATAGACAGGTGTATTACGACTGTTTTACAAGTTCTCTGTAATAGACAGGTGTATTACGACTGTTTTACAAGTTCCCTGTAATAATAGACAGGTGTATTACGACTGTTGTGTAAGTTCTCTATAATAGACAGGTGTATTACGACTGTTGTACAAGTTCTCTATAATAGACAGGTGTATTACGACTGTTTTACAAGTTCTCTGTAATAGACAGGTGTATTACGACTGTTGTACAAGTTCTCTATAATAGACAGGTGTATTACGACTGTTTTACAAGTTCTCTATAATAGACAGGTGTATTACGACTGTTGTGTAAGTTCTCTATAATAGACAGGTGTATTACGACTGTTTTACAAGTTCTCTGTAATAGACAGGTGTATTACGACTGTTTTATAAGTTCTCTATAATAGACAGGTGTATTACGACTGTTGTACAAGTTCTCTGTAATAGACAGGTGTATTACGACTGTTTTACAAGTTCTCTATAATAGACAGGTGTATTACGACTGTTTTACAAGTTCTCTGTAATAGACAGGTGTATTACGACTGTTTTACAAGTTCTCTGTAATAGACAGGTGTATTACGACTGTTTTACAAGTTCTCTGTAATAGACAGGTGTATTACGACTGTTGACTGTTGTACAAGTTCTCTGTAATAGACAGGTGTATTACGACTGTTTTACAAGTTCTCTATAATAGACAGGTGTATTACGACTGTTGTACAAGTTCTCTGTAATAGACAGGTGTATTACGACTGTTTTACAAGTTCTCTATAATAGACAGGTGTATTACGACTGTTTTACAAGTTCTCTATAATAGACAGGTGTATTACGACTGTTTTACAAGTTCTCTATAATAGACAGGTGTTTTACAAGTTCTCTATAATAGACAGGTGTATTACGACTGTTTTACAAGTTCTGTTTGTATTACGTTTTACAAGTTCTCTATAATAGACAGGTGTATTACGACTGTTTTACAAGTTCTCTATAATAGACAGGTGTATTACGACTGTTTTACAAGTTCTCTATAATAGACAGGTGTATTACGACTGTTTTACAAGTTCTCTATAATAGACAGGTGTATTACGACTGTTTTACAAGTTCTCTATAATAGACAGGTGTATTACGACTGTTTTACAAGTTCTCTGTAATAGACAGATGTATTACGACTGTTTTACAAGTTCTCTGTAATAGACAGGTGTATTACGACTGTTTTACAAGTTCTCTACAGGTGTATTACGACTGTTTTACAAGTTCTCTATAATAGACAGGTGTATTACGACTGCTTTACTAGTTCTCTATAATAGACAGGTGTATTACGACTGTTTTACAAGTTCTCCATAATAGACAGATGTATTACGACTGTTTTACAAGTTCTCTGTAATAGACAGGTGTATTACGACTGTTGTACAAGTTCTCTGTAATAGACAGGTGTATTACGACTGTTGTACAAGTTCTCTATAATAGACGACTGTTTTACAAGTTCTCTTAGACAGGTGTATTACTGTTTTACAAGTTCTCTGTAATATAGACAGTTCTCTATGTATTACGACTGTTTTACAAGTTCTCTATAATAGACAGGTGTATTACAAGTTCTCTAGACAATGTATTACAGGTTTTACAAGTTCTCTATAATAGACAGGTGTATTACTGTTTTACAAGTTCTCTGTAATAGACAGGTGTATTACGACTGTTTACAAGTTCTCTATAATAGACAGTTCTGTTTACTTCTCTATAGACAGGTGTATTAATACAAGACAGGTGTATTACGACTGTTGTGTACAAGTTCTCTATAATAGACAGGTGTATTACGACTGTTTTACAAGTTCTCTAATAGACAGATGTATTACGACTGTTGTGTAAGTTCTCTATAATAGACAGGTGTATTACGACTGTTGTACATGTTCTCTGTAATAGACAGGTGTATTACGACTGTTGTACATGTTCTCTACAATAGACAGGTGTATTACGACTGT